TCCCTGGACACCATCGGCAAGGTCAAGGCTGTCATTACCCGGCCTGACCCAGAGGGCCACCCGGATCAACTCCCCTATATCCTTTTGTGGGATAATCTGGCAGAGGGTCCCCCACCCTGGTTGAGGCCCCTCTTGGTGGGAAAGCCTCATGCCTGCCCACCAAAAGTCTCAATCATGGTCACCCGGGAAGGATTAAAGTCCCCCAATCGAAGAGGTGGGGGTCCCAGTGCACAACCAGTTCTCCCCGAGAGCTCCTCCCTCTACCCCCCCTTTGCCTGTTGAACAGCCGCCACCTTATGCAGCTCCATGAGGAGGAGAAGCCAAGGCAGCCTATGGAGGGGGGGATGGAGCTGGGGGTCCCCATGGGAATCCAATGTTTGCCCCCTCCCCAGACTCCTCTACAGGAGAGGATAGATGACCTGGGGAGGCGGGAGGGATGCAGTTAATGTCTCGAGGAAACAGGGACCGAGTGGGGGAAGCTCCATCCTCCACCACAGGAGGAGCTGTGCCAGTTCTGCCAGTCTGAATGGTCGGCGGTCCAGATGGAGTTCAGCAGTACCAATACTGGCCATTTTCCTCTAGTTATCTCTACAATTGGAGGACCCAAAACCCTCCCTTTTCTGAAGACCCTAAGTGTCTAATAGGTTTGGTAGAATCCATTATGTACACCCATTGTCCCACGTGGGATGACTGTCAGCAGCTACTTCGCACCCTCTTCACAACAGAAGAGCGAGAACGCATCCTGAATGAAGCCAGGAAGAATGTCCTGGGAGAAAATGGGAGACCCACTACCCTTCAGCCTGCCATCGATGAAGCGTTCCCCCTCACCCGCCCAAATTGGGATTTTGGGATGGCAGAAGGTAGGGAGCGGCTCCGAGTCTACCGTCAGACGCTTATGATCGGCCTCCAGAGGGCTGCAAGATGACCCACTAACCTGGCTAGGTGAAAACAATTGTTCAGGGAGAAACCGAAAGCCCAGCAATGTATCTAGAAAGGCTATTTGATGCCTATAGGCAATATACCCCCATAAAGCCAGAGGCAGAGGAACACAGGTCAGCTGTAGTCCTCTCTTTTATTAACCAGGCAGCCTCCGATATCAGGAGAAAACTCCATAAGCAATACGATCTGGGAGAGATTTCCATTAGGGAGATGTTGCAACAGGCAGAGAAGGTCTTTAATGCTAGGGAAACTCTGGAGGACAGGGAGGAGAGGCTAAGGAAGGAGAAACAGGAGAT